TAGGGTTCAGGGTTTTAGGGTTTTTCGTGCCGTAGTATGACCAGGAGCTCTCTGCTGCAGCAAGCACTTGCCTTACGCAGCAACGTCTGCAAAAACAGGCACAACAGACTAACGTAGGGGCCTCAATAATTACCAATACTAGTTTGGGGTTCCCTTAGTATAATTATCGTATAATGGGCCCCAAAACCCTATTATAAGTGTTAAAGCGCCTACATTACCCAGCAACCCAGCATGAAGCCAGAAAGCCACAGCCTGCGACAGAAACACTACGACGGAGACCCCGTCTTCCCGGCAGGGGAGTGACCGCACAGGGTTGTTTTGGAAATTCAATTTTGGAGGGTGGCTACTTTCACCAGGTTTCTGGGTTCTTGAGGTTGTGGGACAGACATTGCCCACGCGATGGCTTGCTCTCACGCCGTCACTGCCTGCGTCGGGACTTAGCCCAATGCTCACAGGTACGATTTCATCTTCGATGTGGATTTGGGAGCATCCTTCGGCACGAAGCCGTTGCCTTTCAATCGGGGCCAGGACCGCGTTGGATGAGCCACTACTATGATAAATGTAGGGAAAGCAGCCGACAAAGTAAGCACGAGATTCGCAAGGCAATATTGAGTGAGTTGTTGAGGTGGATGGGTTCAGTGGATTTAGTACATTCGGCTTGGGGAACACGTGGCATTCTTGCAAGAGCACAATTCAGAATGCTCCCATTCTGAACTTCATCCCGTAGTTCAGAACTTGAAACCCTAAATCTAAAGCATGCGTTGCTTCGAGAACACCAACTCCTGCGAATCAAGAAGTCTTCACTCTTGGCACCGGACCCTCAACCAGTTGACGTAGAAGCATGAATAATCATAAATCCATAAACTTCAGAGCCCTAGTCTAGGTGTCAAGGCCCCTGGACGAAAAAAGGCGCCTAAATCATTGCCAATACTAGTTTTGCTGGGGGGTCCTATTCTATAATTATAATATAATACATCCCAAAACCCTATTCTAAGTATCAAGGCCCCTAGATTAGACTGCTCCTGCCAGAACCCACTGGTTGCTGCGGAGTCCTTCTGCTCACGCGAGCAGATCCACAAAGGCAACTCCGAGCAAATCAGGCTGGGCCAAGAGTCTGTTTAGGGTTCAGGGTTTGGGGTTTAGGGTTTAGGGTTTAGGGTTTAGGGTTTAGGGTTCAGGGTTTGGGGTTTAGGGTTTAGGGTTCAGGGGTTGGGGTATTTGTAGGAGCCTTAACAATTCAAGCAGGGCCTTCGAGTTCATTATAGTATCGTCACTATGTGAGGACGACCAGGAGCAGGTTGAGAGTTCACAGTTCGTGGAAAACCGCAAAAAGCTCCTTATGGCTACCCGATAAAAACCCTATTCTGATTCTTAAGCCCCTTGTAGAACCCTATAAAATCCCATTCTACTTCCCTCCTTAAAGCAGCCCTCTGACACCCCACTCTTGTTCTTAAAGCTTCAGCCCCCTATATGAAGCCCGGAGCTCCCCACCGACACAATGAGCTGCAGGTGTTGAGTCGTCAAGGTGTGAGGAAATGCCCAACCACGTAAGATTTGAGCGTCTCAGCAAAGAAGGGACCCTGATTGGGTTTAGGGGTTTAGGGTTTGAGGTTCAGGGTTGGGTTTAGGGAGTATAGTATAGAACCCAACTGAGCAGGCAGTTCATCATCCAGAACGCCGGTGAGGATGGTGCATCCGGAGGCACCGCTACCGGATTCGAAGAGTAGCATGACGTGAACCGTTTAATTTAGGTTCAAGTTCTAGAGCTTAGATAAGGCCAATGGGTTAGTGAGACGTTGCCATACTGCTGCCAGCTCTTGGCCAGTTGTCATTTTGGCGGACCACCTAAACCTACACGTTCGATTGACAAGGTCTGGCCGAACCATTACGGCCCCAATGGCAGCCAAAATCAAAGGTATGTACAGTATGACTGCCCCCGGTAATTCTCGGCAGTTTGACTTAAGACTTGATGTGGGAAGATGGTTGGGATAACGACTGTACGGTCGTTTCGATACTTCTCAGTTGAGGATAGAGAGCAAGCTCCTGTAGAAGGAAGAAGAAGAGGATTTGAGCTGCATTTCGATGGATTCGATGCCCTCGCGAGGCAAGGCTCAACTCGAGGTATGCTGAGGGGTCGGTAAATGGATCTTTATAGTGCTGGCACCGGGATTCTTACACCCGAGGGTTCCAGCCAACAACAGCCAGATGGGCTTTGACTAGCTCTTGCTTTGATAGAAGGGTCTATCTAGTCTAGCTGCGCTTGGGCATCATGCTTCTGATCAAGGGCATGTTGGCCTCAATAGAGGAACTGGTTGCCATACCCGCGCACCGTCAGCGTCACTTGCAGCTTGTGGAAAACCGTTGAGCTGCCTCTAGGTCCCTTCATGATCAGATATAAGTAGTAATATTCCTTAGGGCAGCTTCCTATAATAATACTACAATATACCCCAAAACTTCATACTAATTATGATGGTTTCGGGTTCCTTCATATGGGGGTTTCCGAAAATAGGGGGCCCTAATATAGTACCCTAAATCATAGGATCCTTATTATAAGGACCCCCACAATAAGGTACCCCTAATTTTCGGAAACTCCCATATAACTACTATTCTAGCTATGGTGGCTTCTACAATACCTGGACAGCCGACTTGGCTCTTCGCTGATCGACACTGACTCAAGCTGGATTCGCCCAGGAAGAGGGCTCAAGGCTGCGAAGGAGAGAGCCCTAAAGCTCCGATACTGAGGGTTTAGGGTTTAGGGGTTAGGGTTTAGGGGTTGAGGGTTAAGAGCGTTTCGGGTTTGGGTTTAGGGTTTAGGGGTTTAGGCTTTAGGGCCTTTAGGGTTTACGGTTTAGGATATAAGTGTGACTTGACTTGCAGGAAGATATCCTGTTTGAGGACACCAGCAGACGGTGAGCTTAAAGAAACCGAGAGATGCAAGACTGGGCCGAAGAGATTCAGGAATCTGCCTTCCAAAAAGCCGATTGAGGTGCAGGAGTTGACCAAGACCATAAAAATCCACGCGCAGTAAACCCCTGAAGCCCTTAACCGTAACCCCAAGCCCCTGAACCCTCATAGTAACCTTTGATACCAAACCATTTTAGTATCCCTTCTGGCAGCTCTTAAAGAACAAGCATAATTCGAAACTCTTATGGGTATTCCCTAAACCCTAAACCCTGAACCCCAGCAGCTTGTATAGAACTCCGAAGCCGGGAAGTTAAAGGAGGCAGCGCACCGGCGGCCGCACCATCGGCTCCGGAAGCTACTCCGCCCCCTGGTTTGAGGTTTAGGGTTCAATATAGGGGCCTCAATAATTTCCTATACTAGGGTTCCTTATTGTAATTATAGTATAACATACCCCCAAAGCCCTATTCTAATTATTAAGGCCCCAACATTAAGGGCGCGGAGGAAGGGCGTGGGCTGAGGGTTTAGGGGCGAAGCTTTGGGATGTAGGAGGTTTAGGCTTCCTTTGAGGCTACCATAAGGGCTTCTATGAGGGCGAATGTCGGAGATTTTGGATTTGGAAAAGTAGGGCTTAGGGCTTTCAGGCATCTTTGCTCTATTTGGCTCCAGGTCTGTTTCAGGATTCTTGAGCAATGTTGACCAGGCTTCGGAGTTTTGGGGCGACAAGCCGAATTTCGGATTGCAGGCATTGTTGGATAAGCCATCGGGGCTTGAGTTGTTCCAGGGTTTCGGACCCAGAACCCTGGAGCCTGAGAAAAAGCCTCTGTTTGAAGACCTCTCCAGACATGCAGCAACAACTAGGAGCAGATCCTCTGCTAGCAACACCGTCGTCACCATCCTCCTCATCATCATCACCACCATCATGATAATTAAGCATGAGCATTATGAGTCTAGCAGAAGTGGCTGCCGTGGCAGTGACTGCTGCATTGGTGGCGGGGATCGAAATGGAGGAGTAGTGGTAGTGGCGGTGGTCGTGGCAGCAACGAGAGTCCGCAACTGCGAAAGGACACGAAGACGCCGACTGCTTAAAGCTCCGCAAACTTTCATACACATAAAGCAAGATGGATCGGTTCCTTTCGGCAGAGTAAATCGTAAGTGTAATGCAATCTGTCATGTACACAGGACGAGACGCCGCACTACTTCCAATAGCAAGAGCTCTGGTGAGCTTCAGAACCTGTTTTTTCACACACCACAATACGGCGAGCCATGGCTCGCAGAACTTACTCTCTGACTTTCAAAGCTTTACCTGAACCATGTCCCTGCATCATATCAGGCTCCCAAGAACCTAAGGCCGCCTCCCTACACCCTAAACCTTAGTAATACTACGATTGGTGATAATAGTAACAACAGCAATGACAAAAAGTAGTAGAAGTAATGGTGGTAGTAGTAGTAGTAGTAGTAGTAGTAGTAGTAGCAGTAGCAGGAGCAGTAGCAGTAGCAGTAGCAGTAGCAGTAGGATTAGTAGTAGTAGTAGTAGTAGTAGTAGTAGTAGTCAATAACAATGGTAGCAAGAAAAATATTCGCAATAATAATGGAAACAATAACAAAATTCTGATATTAACAGCAATAGTTCGTAGTGATACTCGTAGTAAAAGTAAATAGTAAAGGCACTTGTAACGATAATCTCAATAGCAATAGCAATAGTACTCGTAATCGTAATGGTAATAGTAATGGTAGAAAATAGTATAAGTAGTTATATAAATAGTATAAATAGTAGTAAAAGGCTTTCTCTGAACGGTGCTTTTTGGATTGAGCATGTGTTTTGGCACCGCTAAGGTACCCCAAGGAGGCTCAGGCCAAGTTGTTCCCGGCACCTTGGCTAGAGATCTTCGGGCAAGATGTAGGGATCTTAACAACCACCAATACCATTAGTTTTTAGGGTGATTGCGCAGGGTTCTTTATTGTATTTAAACCATACTACACCCCAAAACCCCATATCAGCCGGTTTTGACAGCTCGTGGCTTGGGTCCGTGTGGCAACGTATGTGATTTTGAGATTTGTTAATCCATTATCGAAAGCTTTACAGCGAATAGCTACGGTTTCTTTCTGCTAGAAGCCGAGACTGATTTAAGGGCGTTGGACTCCGCGACTGGGTTTCTCAAAATGGCAAGACTCACGGATCTCTGGTTTAGGGCTCCGGAACTAGATTTTGGATGAGAGACTGTGTGTAGCATCACTGGTGGTTGTGGTGTTAGTAGTAGTCGTCGTCGATGTGGTCGTCGTCGCAGTCGTGTTCGCAGCAGCATCGGCAATAGAAACACTGCTACTGGTAGTATTGCTTCCTACAGTAAGAAGGCTTTCAACACTGTTACCAGGAAAACCACTACATACACGTATAGGAAAAAGAAGCAAAGTCATGCCAGTAGTGCTGCTAGGTGATGCAACCTGCCGTCTTCAAGGCGGGTCAGACTGGGGGCGTGAGAACACCCAGTGACTGAGCCAGATCACCCATCCCAGCCACTGTGCACACCGTCTCACCACCCAGCCACCCACACATCCCCACTCCCACCCTCACCCACCCATCCCGAGAGGGCTAGGCTAAGAGCTTCGTGGCTTGGGGCCTACGAGGGTTTAGGCCCGGAGGCTTTGGGAGTGTAGGGGTGAGGGCTTTAGGCCTGTAGGTCTTAGGTGGTCGGCATAGCATAGCAGAACACCCGCGCAAGCTGCCACGTTGCCTTGATATGGACGTGTTTATACCCTCGAGATTGAACTCATGCCTCCAATATAGGGGCCTTCAATAGTTACTTACATTATTTTGGGGGCTCCTTATTGAAATCTTACTATAAAGTACCCCCAAACCCTATGTTTAATTAGTAAGGCCCCTATATTATATTAACCCCAAACCCCAAACCCTAAGCCCTGAACCCCTAAACCCCTAAACCCTAAAACCCTAAGCCCCAAACCCTACACTGTGGCTTCAACTCTGGGCTCGATACTACGGGCTGATGGTATAAATCCTGCTTGACCCAGAATAAGGAATATACCATAATTCCCGTAGTTTAGGGTCCATAATATAAGGAATATACCATAATTCCCGTAGTTTAGGGTCCATAATTTGAATGTACCATAATTCCCATAGTTTAGGGTCCTTACGGTAGTGCAGTATTTCTATCATCAACAGTACTTTAGGTCATTCCATGGCCCCCTGCCCTGAAGACTCTCTCTCCCTCAGCAAGTCAAGAGGAGGGCTTGAGGCAGAAGTCTGATGGCATAAGGGTTCGGCTATGGAAAGCCGAAGTTTTCGGAATTATTCCGTTGTTCGATTCTGTTTGACTACGCCTAAACCCTGAACCCTGAATCAGCTTTGTTTTAGGGTTCTACAGAGTACCCTTATAAAACCCTGCAGAGAATCTTCAAACGAGCATACTACCACCTAGACCCGCGGTACAGAGCACGACTCGAGCGGCGCAGGATGGCAAATTTGATGCCATCCAGGGGAAAATCTTGGAGTTCAACAGCCAGGTGGGATGCACTCTTTGGGGTCCTTAATGGTCCTTACAGCAAGGATCCTAAGCTTTGCGTTCCTGAAAGTAAGGATCCTAACCTTTGGGTTCCGTAGAGAGTGTTTCATGGTTCTGCGTATCAGGGCACGCTACTGTCCCTCCTTCCTGAACAAACCAGGCATCCATGGCACAGGGATCGTTGGATTGGCTGGGGGTTGAGGGTTTGAGGGCTTCAGGCTGTTGGGAAGGGATTTAGGGTGTAAGGCTTTCAGGATTGAGACATTTAGGGCTCCAGCTTTTTATGATCTTAGGGTTTAGGCATTTAGGGTTCCAGGCTTTCGGGGCTTAGGGCTTTAAGGCTTTAGGTGTTCAGGGTTTAGGGATTTAGGATTTAGGGTTCTTAGGGTTCATGGATTTGATTTGGTTGGGCTTTTTGCAGGCTGATCATTGTTTTGATTCCGGGTTTGGCGGCTTACGACTCCTCCGATGGTTTCACTCCGTAAGCCTTAAACCCTGAACCCGTAATCCGCACACTGCGTAAGCCTAATTAGAATTAGAACAGGGTTTTGGGGCCCGTTATACTATACTTATAATAAGGAACTTCCGAAATAATACAGGTAATTCTTGAGGCCTCTACATTACTTGAAGGGAGGTTCTTTCGTTAGGGATGTTGGGGAATCTCTAGGTGCTCCAGTCTGTGCATTTCAGGTTGAAGAGTCGCTGAAGCTGGATCCCGTGGAGGCCAAGGGCAGCAGTGGGCACAGAGTTTAGAGCTTCCGGGTTTTCAAGCAGTCATCGTGGTTTTGATTTTTTAAGCCCTAAACCCTAGATCCCTAAACCCTAAACACTAGATCCCTAGATCCCTAAACCCTAATCCCTAGAGCACCACCCATGGAGGAATGGCGCCAAAGCCTACACCGTAGCCCTGACTATACGGAAGACCAAGGGCGGGTAAAGCAGCTGTTTAGGGTTTAGGGTTCAGGGTTTAGGAGAACTGCTCTCGAGCCCGAGCCGAAGATATCAGCAACATCGGAGCTACTGTGGGGTCCCAAATAATTAACAATACTAGCTTGAAGGCTCCTTACTATAGTTATAGTATAATGGGCCCCGAAACCCGATTCTAATTGTTAAGGCCCCTACACTACAGGGTTTGAAGGTTTAGTTTCGGGCTGGTTTGGTTTGCTGAGGGCTCCGGGTCTAGAACTCATGGCTTTGAGGGCTCAGGGTACGGCCGCCTGCTCAAGATGTAGGTATTCTTTCTCGGGCTTGGGGTTTCGGCTTCTTGTTCGACCATGGTCCTTGCATCCCTAAACCCATAAACCCTAAACCCTAAACCGCTAAACCCCTAAACCCCTAGACCCTGAACCCCTAAACCCCTAAACCCTAAA